TGAGGAGGAGTTAGTACAATATAAGAAGCTTCGTGATGGGACTTTTGAAGAGATGAAATGCGATGCATATGTAATGAATTTTGATTGAAGACTTGCCTGTGAACAAAATTGTTGATTTGTACATGGTCCGTACGTTCAAATGACAATTATAAGAGGGAAATATATGAGGTTCAATCTTCCACTCAAGTTGACAAGCAAATAATGACAAGAAACAAATTATTTGATGTGATTGTGAACTTAGATGAAGAGTTGCAAATAACATATAGTTTGAATTGGGATGATGAGTTTGAGAATTTTGGGATTGGACAACTTTACATTGTTACAAGTTCATTGTAGCTGATAGTTTTGCTTAAAACGAAAGCATCGCTCCCATGTTCTCAATTGTATTTGATAGCTTTATGGACAGAACAATTGTTACACTATCATTTATTACTTTTAGTTTTTTCACACACAGATAAAACAAGGAAATGAAGAAATTGGCAGGTGATGGTACCCAATTTCTTTGACAAGAAAAATGATCAAGGGTGGACTTTGGCAGTAGCTTTTGGAGCTAACCCAATTTCATTTTTTTTTTTTTTTTTTTTTTTTAAAAAAAAAAAGGGATGGATAAGATAGTAAATGAATTGGCGAAGATCTCAAAAAGAAAAGTCTTCCAATATAATGAAAGAATAACATTAAAGTTGTAGCTTCAATTTTTGTTGGAAATGACGAGTTCATCTGTTGATTATTTTTTTTCTTTTAGTTTTAGTTAGAATTCTTTTTTACTTGATATTAAAAAAAAACTAAAACTTCCCACTTTTTTAATTTTTTTATTTTATTTTAGGTTTATCGTCAAATCCATGAAAAAATTGGAGGAAAAAGTAAAGATGGAGGAAGGAAAAGAGAAGTAGCAAGTCAAATTATAAGTAACAGGGTTATTTTGGTTATTTTACCATGAAAAAATGGTTGTCTCATTTTTTTTAAAGTTAATTTGGACGGAACACTGATGGAATGACAACATTGATTCGTGAGGTTAAAATTCAAGGACTACATTGATTGACTTTTAATTTTAGGAACCATCATGATTGATGGAGTCAATTTTAAGGACAATTTGTAATAAAAATCCCTTGTTAAATAGAGTTGGTGGTGGAGTGCCTCTAATATTATTGTTTACCAACTACCAAAAAGGGTATGGGATGCAAGTCATTGAAACTTTTAACCTAACACCACATTACGTAAATAAATGATAAACTTGATTAGCAGGTGGCTTGTGGGTGCGTCCCTATAGTCAATTTTATCTTGCCAACTAAAGGACACAGAACAAAGAAAACTTTAGAGACGATAAAGTGATGTGTGTGGAAACAAATGGTGAAGGTAAAGATCTAACTCTAAGTATGGCACTCAGAATACCTGGTAAACGTTTTTTTTTTTTTTTTTTTTTTTTTTTTAACTAAACGATCTACACTAAGGAGGTGGAGAAGTGAGTTAGTCTCACAATAGGTTAGCAATAATGTGGTTCGAATTCTTCTTTGACATGAATCAAACCTAAGACATCTCATTTACAAGTAAAGAGAAATATCACTAGATCATAGTACTGAGTGATACCTAGTAAACGTTTTGAATTCAAAGTTTGCTGCTTTCAACTTTACTAAACCAAACACTAAATAGAAACAAAATTAAAACTACATGGTCTCACATGGAAGGCTACGAACTCGCTCAATCATTCACCTCGACTCATGTGGAGCTGATTTAGGCACCGCTTCCGTACTGGTAATGGCGACCTACCTAACTCAACTGTCGTAAGTGTAATTTTCCAATGTGGGAATAAAATAGAACAGCAGAAGCCTAAAGAGAATAAGGCGGCATTGATGTGGGAAACATTTCAGCCAAATTTCAAAGACAGCTACCTAATACAACTCCAATACGAATTCTTTCAACAGTCGGCGATGCTAGATTGACTTCTTTGTCATTTTCAACTAACATCACTCTTTAAAGTCCATATATATGTCTATGTATAGATTGTTTAAAGGAATAGATTTCACCATTTAGTATTACGATTTAGTGGTATTGTTTTTCACTTGTAAGTCAGAGATCTTAAGTTCGATTATCTCAAAAAACGAATTTGGACCACATTATTGCTACCTCATTGTGAGACTAAGCCCATCCCCTCCTCCTTAGTGTAAATAATATCGTTTTTCCAAGAAAAAAAGGGAAGCAATTCCAATTTTTTTTATAAATGGGGATTAGTTGTTGCTTAAAAATAGGGATTAGTTGTTAGACCCTCATCACATCGAACTTCAACGATCCGAATCGTCTATTTTTCAAGTTGGACATCATAGATCATCCTTGCTAAATATTAGCCAAATCGAAGATATTGGAGACATCTAATTGAGTTCAAAGAAATTGACGAACACTTTGTTCTATAAGAAATAATGAAATTTCATTGTGATAATTAAATAGGCAAATGATTTTGGATTTAATTGAATTTTTGCAAAGATGATCTATGATTGATTTTGGAATTAATTAAATAAACGGTTCAGATCGTTGAAATTCGACGTGAAGTGGACCTACAACTAGTCCCCATTTTTACCTAAAAATGAGGATTCCTTTAAATAAAGGGCATGTATATATAAAGAGATAGATAGGTGTACGTCTAGACAGTTTGCACAGGCTCAAGAGTGACTTATAAAAAAATTCATTTGCTAAGGCACACATTATATGAAAGATTTTAAATTCGAATCTCATAAGATATGTTTGGAGGTTGATTAATCCACACACTCTACACATTGCCAATAATTGATTTCTTCAACTTTAATTACTACCTGCTCCGCCAATTGAGTATTACACTTTGCCAAAAGGTTTCAACTTATTAAGATTATACAATATGTTTCCCTTCTTTATATAACTCATGTAATTAGCACATCTTTCAAAAGTACTCTATGGATGGAAATGCAGGATAAATATAATTGTATAAAAATGTCTTAATAGTATTGTTAAAGCTTGAAGCAAATTAATGGAAGATGATAATCTCATAGCCAAAAAGAAGATAGAGAGAGAGAGAGAGAGAGAGAGGATAGTCCTCTAAAAGGAGGAGGATTTTCTCTCATTTTTATTTTCATCCTACTTGAACAGTCACGATTAAGTTACGTTAATATTTTAAATTTTTTTTATAAGGACAAAAAGATAGAAAATAAAGTGTAACAGAAGGGAAGAGAAAATAATAAGAATAAAAGGAAAGAAAATCCTACTCTCATTTAAAAATCAGTGACAGTTGTACTTCATTGTTTTTTACTTTAATTGTTACCATCTCTTTCTCTTGTAGCATGTTGGACCCTTGTTTTATTAAGTTATAATTTACACTAAACAACTCTATCAACATGCTAATTACTCTTATCTAACAAAACACAAAAACTGCTACGGTAATAATCCAAATAATTAACAGCCGCAGCCGCCATGAAAAAGAAAAGGAAAAGGAAAAAGAAAAGGAAAAGGACAATGGATGAATATAGGTCCTGGTTTTATTTTTTTTATCTTGTTCCTTTCAAAATGTAAACAGAGAGAAAGAGAGGGAAGGGTAATTTTTATCATCTGTTCTTATTCTTTTCAAAAAAAATTAAAGAAAGAGAGAAGATAGGAGGTGAGGGTAAGAAGGTAAGAGATAATTGGAGCTTTAGTATTAGAATTAAAAATCCTACGAGTATTGGTCTATAGATTTATTGTAATACAGAGAAATGGTCATTTTTGTATAATTCCAGTAAAATTTTCATCATTTATTTGTCCTTTTTTGAGAAATTGAGATGCCCAAAAGAACAATTAATCCAAGATTGTGACAAGTTCAGACACCAATTACGAACTTTTAGTTTAGTGGCCAAATCTCCAATTATGCAAAAGTCTAGAGATTAATGCTCCAATTTCTCATAAAAATGACTTAGGCTAGATGAGAGGTGACATAAGTTGAAATGGTTTAAAATAAAAGTTAAAACTTGTTTCAAAGGGTATCTAGTTTTTTTTTTTTTTTTTTTTTATTTTTATTTAATACAACGATATATTTACATTGAATGAGTGGGAGAATAAATTGTTTTTCAACTTGCCATCCACGAAATTTGAACCTAAGACTTCTCACTTACAAGTGAAGAAAAATATTACTATCTTCTCTCATTTTTCTCTTCTAAATACAGAAATAGGGAAATGTGTTTGAACAACTGCATTATTGTAGCATTCTTGAATAACACCATTTTTTTTATCGATTTTCAGGGACGGATCCATTAGGAGGTAAAAGGATTTGTAAAGTCCTCCATTGAAGGTTTTGGGATTGACTCCTTGAATTTTTTAAGTTTCCTTAAAGGTTTGATAAAATGTTGATATTGTGGATTTGTTAAATAATAGTGATATGTGAGGACATTGCTACTACCATAGTAACGCTATTTAAAATCATTTCCGTAAAGAATAATACTAACATTTTAAAGATAAAATCATATAACTCACTATTACTATTTGTAAGTGAGAGTTCTCAAGTTCGATTCTCATGGATTGAGACATATGATATTTATGTGGCTCAGCACCTAATTATGGTTGGCCGATTGTGTGGTTTAAGTCAATCTCCTTCCTTTTAAAATAAAAATATCATTCCATCCAGTAAAACAAAAACAAATAAAATAAAACAAAAAGAGTGTACCAACATAAACCTAATCACAACTTTTTTTGGGTGAACACGGAATCACAACTTTAGACAAAAACACACAACACGTGAGGACACCAATGCAAAGACAATTTTTGTTCATATTTCCACAAGTGGGGAAAAGATCCGGTCCTGATCTCTTCTATCAAAGATCCATAATCAAGTGATTCATATTGTTGAAATTTGATTCAATGACTACAAACAGATGATTCCTATAAAATTATAATAATTGTAACCGTTAAATCAAATTGAAACGGTCCATATCACTTGATCCTAAACTTTTGATGGGAGAGATGTGGATCAGATCTCTTCCCCCGCGAGAGTGGAGACCATTTTACATAAATGTTCACACCAATAAAGACGTTGAACACATGCACTCTATCATGAATACGCGGCCCTCCTTTACAGCTTTTAAACAAATTTATGGTACAATCTGGCCTGTCATTTTCTCCTTCCTCCATTCTCTTGCAGATCAGTAGAAGCACATAGATTCAAGCAATCTTGTTCCTTCCAAGGATCTGCGAATCCATTAGCAACGAAATGTGGTCAGTCATTTTCTTTTTAAATTTGTGATCTCTTCTCTCACTTCTTCTTTTCCATTTATTTCCTGCTTTGTTTTGCTTTGTGAAACACTATTTGTTTAACCTGCCCGTAGATTTTTCAATCTGTCGGCAGGCCAAAACAACCCCACCAACTATATTTCACCACTGATTTTCTCCTACTTTTCTAGTTTGTTTGATGAACTTCATGAAATTGTACTACTTTGTGTTCGTAGCTTTTTGAACCAGTTTTTAACTTCAGATCGATCCATCATTTGCCCTTCTATTCCGGTGTAGCAGTCCCGGAAATTCTATCTTAGAGGCCATATAGCAAAATACAAAGAAACAGTTCACTCGAAAACCCGGAAATTCTTGTAAAGAAACCAAGTCCAGGGAATTGGTGAAGTCGATTATGGGTCGGTTTCAGATTAGAGCCTTGTGTTTCTGTCTCCTCCTCCTACTTGTGTTCAAAACCTGCATAGCCGACGAACAACACAAAGATCGAATCTTTCCCGGGTTCCAGGCATCTCAGGTGGACTGGAGTGATCATGTGGGGCTGTTCCTGCTATCGAACAACTCGGCGTTCGCCTTAGGGTTCTACCAAGCCCTGGATGTCAAGTTGTATTTACTTGTGATTATTCACTTGGGTACTGGTAAAGTGGTCTGGACTGCTAACAGAGGCAAACTGATTTCCAAGTCCGATAAGTTCGTTTTTGATAAAAATGGGAGTGCCTACTTGACAGGCAGTGATAGCGTGGCCTGGTCTACAAACACAACAGGACAGGTAGCTTCAGCCATGGAATTGCAGGATTCTGGAAACCTGGTGTTGCTTGGAGTACAAAGGAAGCATTCTTTGGCAGAGTTTTAGCCATCCCACGGACACTCTCTTACCTGGCCAGGAGTTCTTGCAAGGAATGCAGCTCAAAAGTTTTCGCAATCCCAATAACGTGTTTCACTATCTTGAAATTCAGTCAGGGGATCTGGTCTTGTATACAGGATACGAACCTCCTCAAATCTATTGGTCCTCGGCGATTGACAGCAGGATGAGCAACAACAATGTCATTGGCAATATTCACTCTTTGTCTCTGGCGTCCAATGCGTTGAATTTCTATGATGCAAATAAATCCTTGCTTTGGCAATTTGTCTTCTCTGATAACAAGGACCCGAATGCATTCTGGTCTGCGGCTTTAGGAGCTGACGCCGTGATCTCCTTTTACGACCTTCAGAAGGGAAAGTCTGTTACTTCTGAAGCAACTAAGATCCCGCAAAATTCATGCAGCACTCCTGAGCCTTGTGCCCCTTATTTTGTGTGCTACTTTGACAATTGGTGCCAATGTCCTTCGCTTCTCACTTCCCGCTTTAATTGCAGACCTCAAGCACTCCCAACTTGTAATAGCTCCAGAAGCTCAACGGAGCTTTTATATGTTGGTGAGAAGCTTGATTACTTTGCCCTTCAGTTTACCAAACCCTCCCTGCTGAAATCCAATCAGAGTTCCTGCAAAGAAGCTTGCATGAGCAATTGTTCTTGCCTTGCGCTCTTCTTTGAAAGCAGCTCTGGACATTGTTATATGTTTGACCGGGTAGGGAGTTTTGAACGCTCCGGTGCAAATTCTACCGGGTACATCTCTTTCATGAAGATTTTAAGTGATGGAGGAATCAATGCCGGACAAGGAAATGGAAACAGAAGCAAACACATCTTGTTAATCATGGTCATTTTGATTGCAACAATTTTTGTTATTGCTGGTCTAGTTTATATGGGATTCCTGTACTACCGCAGGAAGAGACTACTTGATTATTCTCAAGAAATCTTGGAAGAGGATAAGTTCTTGGACAGTCTTTCTGGGATGCCTATTCGCTTCAAGTACGGTGATCTTAGCAGAGCAACTAAAAACTTCTCCAACAAAATTGGCCAAGGAGGGTTTGGTTCAGTCTACATAGGCCAGCTCCCAGACGGCATCCAACTGGCTGTGAAAAAACTGGAGGGCGTTGGCCAGGGGAAGAAAGAGTTTAGAGCTGAGGTCACTATTATTGGGAAAATTCGTCACGTCCATCTGGTCAAGCTCAGAGGTTTCTGTGCAGAAGGGCCTCACCGGCTTCTTGTTTATGAGTACATGGGAAAAGGGTCTTTAGATAAGTGGATATTCAATACCAACAAAAAGGAGGCCGTCTTGGATTGGAACACAAGATTCAATATTGCACTGGGCACTGCAAAGGGGTTGGCGTATCTACATGAAGAATGTGAAGAGAAGATTGTCCACTGCGATATAAAACCCGAAAATGTTCTTCTTGATGACAATTTTGTTGCCAAAGTTTCAGATTTTGGTTTGGCAAAGATGATGAACCGGGAGGAAAACCTTGTACATACAACGGTGAGGGGTACAAGAGGGTACCTAGCTCCGGAATGGGTTACCAATCATGCCATATCAGAGAAGAGTGATGTGTACAGTTACGGCATGGTGTTGCTTGAGATCATTGGTGGGAAGAGGAATTTTGATCCAGTGAACAGTTCTGAGAAAGGTCACTTTCCTTCTTATGCATTTAAGCTGTTGGAAGAGGGAAATCTGAAACAATTGCTCGATCCGAAGCTAGATGTTGATGAAAATGATGAAAGGGTTGTGACTGCAATCAATGTTGCATTGTGGTGCATTCAAGATGAGATGCATATGAGGCCTCCGATGACGAAAGTAGTCCAAATGCTTGAAGATCTTTCTGCTTTACCACCACCACAGATTTCCTCCTCCTCTCTGTCAGGTCGTCATGTGAGTTTCTTACAATGGAGCGGCAAGGAACCTAGTTCGTCGTCAGGACTCACTAATTACAACAGTGATAGATTCCTATCGGACATTCAACTTTCGGGGCCAAGATGATGGAAGCAAGTTATATAAATTGTGATGTACCTGTGGCGGTTTAGTTTCAAGGATAAAAGGTATAGTGTATCAACCTTTGTATGGTCAGTTAAAATTCTGAAGCCAATGTATGTTCCCGTATCGTTTTATACACCCTAAACCCTAAACTCAAAACCCTTTAAGCTGTGTGAAAGCAGTCGAAAGCAGCCTTTTTCCGAAACCCTGCAATCCATGCCTCTAATGAGAGCTGAGGCTTATTGGAAAGAAGAGAGACCAACCAATCTACAGAAGTATACATTTGTTTTGGCAAACATCTGCGGATCAATCTTCGTTTTCAGCCTCGAGAGAAACCGAACCATCACCATTTTCTTCCCCATACCAGATCAATGACTCTTGTTCTGCAGGAAAATTGAGGCAGTCCTATAAAGTTTGCCTGGCTAATTAGCGGTCTAAAATTGCAGCATTAGTCTCAAGTCCGTCCAGCTAGAAGATTTCATATAAAGTAAGAGAACACTTGAACAAGGCCAACCATTGAATCTAACTGTATGATTTTCTAAACAATACTTTTGTAATAATTTTTTTGCCTATTAAGTCTCATAACATAATGCATAACGCCATACTGGTTTGAAACTATTCCATATTAGATAAACTTCAGGCTACATGTCCTTGTTTGTGATGGACGAGAGACTCTGTCCTATCACCAGACGAAGAAAGTTGAGGTTCCACTATAAACTCATAAGGAGTAGCCCAACTTATAAGGGCATGTAAGGTCTTTTTCGCATCAATATATGATTTATTCTCAACACTAGATATCAAGCATATATTCCAGTTTAGTCGGTGGCATCCAATTTTTTTTATTTGTAGGACTATCGGTAATGTTCATGATTTTACTATCTTGGGCTTATCATAAACTACAACTGACTCACATTTGCTACTACATGTGATTAATGCAAGACTATAGATGTGAGAAACGTGTATTATGCAATAGGTGCATAAAAGTTTTTCTGGTCACATATACAATAATCTTGTAAAAAGATTATATATAACAAAAATATCTAAGAAGTCTGAGGTGTAGGTTTATATTCAAAGCTTTCCTGGTCCACAAACCTTATTGCCTTCATTCATGATGGCTATAGTTCTTTTTCTTTACCATTAGCAACCAACAGAAGGCACCAAAATAGCCAGCCAATGGGAATGCTTCAATACCAACAAAACCTTTTGATATTTCCCACTTGGAGACGAGAAAAAATGGCCAACCCACCAAATGGGCCAAATTGCTGAAAGACGTGAACACTGAACAACCAACTTATGAATGAAAATAATTAACACAAAGCAAGTGCCGAGTGCAAGATTTGAACACTGAACAGCCAACGGGTGTTTTCTATTACGTTTTGTTGAGAAATGCTAAGAAAACTCTTTTAAAAGTGAGACTTTTTGTGAATTTTCTGTTATCTCATATTTTTGTCATAATATTTTATAAATATTGATACGAAAATTGACAATAAACTATGAGGTAGTATAGGATCTATGAAAAGTCTTGTTTTAAGAAAATCCTTCTAACATTTCACTGTTTGGTTTTCACAATATTTTAAATCTTCTAATTTTATTCACAACCGTTCATCTTTTGTATCTTTCAATGCTTCGTACCAATAAAGTAAAAATAAACTTTTGAAGCATTATCTGGCCATGGAACCACCAAAGTATGCCTAATAATGACGGTATTCCCTCAGTACAGCTCCACACAATAATTGCTTAGAAATCACATCACATCAAAATAATACATTCACAAAGGAAAAAAACATGAACCAGCAGACCAATGAAATGAATCAATAAAATAAAATTGTGGAGAATGACGTCAGCTTACCACTACAGATGAAAAGCCAAAGCTGTATTTATCAGCCGACCTACGTAACATAACTTAGGCTGAAATACAAAACCCTACGAACCACGAAGCATGAAGATATCAGAATACCCACACAAAGAGAATAAATTTCGTTTTGGATCAATCTACCTGATCACATATCACAATACCTTGATCCTTCTACACATCCTTTAGTTTTATCTTTCATTTCGATGCATGAACAAATTTCTGTTTGCAAGTGATTTTGAGAAGGTCATAATCACTTTTAGAAATAAAAAAAACATATCAGATGCGTTTCTTCCCATAAGTGATCTGAATCACTTGCATACGGTTCATTAGTACTCAAATCCAACAACTCAAAGTATTGAAAGGCATAGGATGAAAACGGGAGAAGAAATGACCTTACTTTCTTTGCTAATTGTCACCCTATAATTTTGGATGATTAAGTAAAGAGCAATCTTTTCACGCGTTTGATCCATTTGTGCTGCCTTCTGTTAAAATCCATGTAAAATTATAGTCCCAATGCATTAGAGTTATAAAATACTAAAGGAGGGAGAAAACTTGGTATGAATCGATGTGTCAATTACATCATCTATGCGACGTCTTAACTCCACTCGACCCAATATTAGTTTTACACAATGTGAGAACTTTCCTAACTAAAGAGACGAAATTTCTCTCAAGTGGATGAAAAAGACAAATGATTAGACCCCAAAAAGGGGTTCTTTCCTTTTCTTCCTTGTATGCACGAAATTAGAAATAGCATCACAGGCATAGCAGAGGATAAGAGGGACTGTCATTTCTTAAGCTCAGACGGTGGAGATAGATATTTCACAGAGGCTTACACATCATGCATATTCTTTTCTTACTTTCTAATCACATAAACCCTTAAATTATTTGAATAATAATACAAAAGGAAGTCCACAAAGTCTGCCCAGACTGTTCTTATTTGGACGGAGCATATTAACAGAAAGCAACACCCAGGACGATGGCCACCACAGCATGTAATATATAATGTATATATGTATATGTATGTAAATATATATGGAATAAGAGGACAAAAGGTAGAAGTTACATATGATATATCAGCTAATTTGTTATTTTAATTATCATACAAAGTCACAGCTAATATCTATTATTAAGAGGCTGCAGTTAAGGGAGAGTGGTGAGGAGATCCATGGAAGAAATTCGACGACGATGTGTGGCTCCGGTCGGTTTCACGTTGAATCCCTTGATTTTCTTCATCATCTTCGTCGTCTTCAGCATCCCAAAGGAAATGAGCATATGAAGCCAGGACATAACTGCAAAATGAGTGGAGTTGAGACATCAGTTTAAACTTTAAACAATAATTAACCCAGAAAAACAGATCAACAAAGATCTCCTATAAATATTTCATTACTAATCAAAATGTGTTGTGTGTGTGAGAGAGAGAGACAGAGGGAGAGAGTATACTCAAAATATATCTGGACAGAAAAAATTTAAGCAAATCGAGCATATTGAGATATGCAACACTAGTTTGTAATCGACCGAGATTATAAACATTAGGAACTCAAATTCAAAAACATCGAACTTAGATTCGCTAATGCTGCAGTAATGCATACTCCAAAGCACCAATTGAGTTGTTCCATAGCGGAAACCATGAGAACACGGTTGATCATAGAATCAAGGATTTAAAGAGGAGCATCTATTTGAACACCGTCCCAAAAAGTATACATGGTTGGAGAAGTTGTGCTTGTATAACGATTTGATCAAATTTGATCAAACACGAATCGTCGAGTACTAGTTCCGATTTTCTGATTCAAGCAATATATTATATACTAAGACCATCTCCAATGGTTGGGCTAAAAACTAAATTTTTTAGTCTAGAAAATTTAGCCTTTAGCCCATAAATAGTTTTTCTGCTCCAACCGTTATAGCTAAAATTTTAGCCCAGGATTATTAAATAATGAACTTAGGCTATTTTTTTTGTTAAATTAAATTAAAAATAAATAAATATGTAGACCATCGTAAATTAATTTTATAAAAGTTTTAATCTAAAAAATTTAAATTCCGATAAATATTAGGTGAAGTCCACTTCGATTTCTAGGCTAAATTTTGGGGGGAATTTGGCATTGACTTAGTATTTAGCATTTAGCCCAAAATTTTCCCTTGGGTTGGAGTGGGTTTGGAGAGAAATTTTAGAGAATAATTTGACTTTTTAGCCCACCATTGAGTTGGTCTAAGACATGAACGAGGAAGTAGGGACGGAGTGACCATAAGATCACAATAGTCGTAGGCCCACCCTGCTTTTGTTTATAAAAAAAATTAGTACTACTTTTTTTTTTTTTTTTTTTTTTATCATTTTTCCATAGACTTTTTTACTTAAACCATTCCAATTTCTTAAACAAAAGATTCGGCCCACTTTAAATATTTTAAAGAAAAACTAATGAAAAAGATTTGAAAACTCTGAATTTTAATGATAAGGACAAAATAAATAGTAAAGTGAATAGTATTAGAATTGACTTTTTAGTGTAAAAATGTAGTTTTTCGTTAAAGTGAACAGTATTGTAGGCTTTTCATTAAAACTCTCATATTTTAAAGATATTTATGTAATCTAGTCTGACCCTAAAGCCTACCTATTCCAACTTCCAACACTTCTATTCCTTTTTCCAATACTAAAAATTAGTATTTTATTATTCTCCAAGTTTCTAGCTTACGGCAGTCTACCAGTTTGGGTTAGGATTGATATATGTGTATTGTTTTTCGTTTTTCAATCAATCTTCAATTTCCATGATCATCTAGGGTATGAACTTCGAATCTCCAAAGTTGTCATTTTCATTTTTTTTGAAATTTGCTAATTTATATACGTTGTCATCTACAATTGTAAATTAATTTAACAAATAATATTTTTTTTTTTTGCAGATTAAAGATTTCCATTATTCCATCATTCCATCAAAGAAAGACATTGAAGTTTAGTTAATTGGTCAACAACCCAAAGTTCGTATTTGACTCTCAATTTCTCTTACAATTTTTTGTTTATAAATTATGATTAAATTGATGTCTTGTAATTTCTCTTAACTATTGCCTAATTTGTTTTAGTTTGTAAAATTAACATATAAATACTATGCAATGGTTTCAAAATATGAAAACTCGTCGAGAATAATTATTTTAATTATTGGAGATATGTAATATTATCAATGCTATGTTATTTTGAATTTTGGTTACTTTTCATATATATATATATATATATATATATGTATATATTATGATTTTTTGGTTAACAGTTTTGTAACCACTATTGATTTAATTTTTTTTAATATTTGTGAGAGGCGCTTCCTAATTCGAAATCCTGGCTCCGCCACTGCGAGGAAGTTTGATCAAAGGGGAGCTCGTTCTATGTCTTACCAGTCGTCTGGGGAAGTTTTAACAGCTTGATCAAAATAATTCTCAGCTCGTTCAGCATCCTTGTGAGCATTCCATATTAGATCACCGTATAGTGATAAGGTTTTCGCATCACTCGGATTCGCCAAGATTGATCTTCCACAATACTCCTCTGCTTTCTCATAATCTCCTCGGACCTATTCGCATTGGTCACAACTAATCAGAAACACTCCTAATTTATCAAACAGCAAATCTTCACGTAAAATATTTAGACCAATTGTGTGAACATTCCTAGTGTCATGAATATCTAGAATTTGCAGAGTAATCTACCTTTGTTGTTTTCTTTATATGCGCGAAAATCACTTCCCGTTATAAAATAGTCAATTAATTAAAGATGACAATCTCCATTCTTTTCATAAATTTTCTCAGCAACCAAACAGAAAACAATAATCCAAGAAAGAGTTGTTTAGTTTACAAGTTTACCTCTTTTAGAAACTTTGCATAGTTTCCAAGTAAGAGAGCATTTCCCGGGTCAGCTTCAATCATCTTCTGATAATAAGCATCAGTACTCCCACTCCCACGATTATTACCCTCAAAGAAACCAAACCCACTTCCTTCTCCGCCGTCCGATCCTTTCCCCCGCCACTTCCGCCGCCGCAAATCTTCCCGCCACTATTCCCCACACCGCTCCCCATCACCAGCGTCTGCAAAACACTCTCTTTCTTCTTCCCCCCACCACAGTCCTCACCATCTATGATTTCCTCCCCCAAACCAGAGCTAGAAAACAGCCTTTCAGCTTCGAACGACAATCTCGAACTGGGTTTTATCTCCTCTTCCGGTTCCTCTGGTTTCTCGGCCTTGGTTTTCGATTTCTCCCGGAGGCTTCGAGGTATGGGGAGGTTAAGCTTCTTGTTTCTGGGCTTCTGTTGGATTTTGATGTCGGATTCTAGGGAGACTTGGGTTTTTGTTGCGTCAGTTGTAGGTGAGTGAAAGGTGCACAATGATAGGGAGACAGACCTGGTTCTAGAGAGGAGTGGCTCCGGCTCCGGCGAGGAGTCTTTGCAGTGGGACATCCATGAGTTCAGGATGGGTGTCGAGGAGCTTCTCAGAAGCATGTTTATGGCTTTAACAAATTAGGAGCTGAAAAAGGTGATACAGATATATATAAAGGAGAGCGAACAGGTGCAGCCAACAATGGTGGGGGAGAGAGATACAGAAGCGAGAACAAGAGGGAGAGGAAAAACCTCACTCCCTTGGTGGTTGGTACAGTGAACTGCTGAATCAGATTTTATAGGAGTAAGGTATTCTATGACAAAGAATTCTCGCATGATTCTCTTTGTGAAGAAATTTTTAGTTGTAATGGACATATGTTATATCATGTGTTTTTATGTAAGTTGTGGAAAATTTTAATTTTTAAGTTATTAACCTTTTAATACACATAACTCACCATTTATATAGAGACACGTGGTGTACCATCTCGTGTGACGGTCACACTGAAAAATCACATTAGTTCATTGTACATCGTAAGACTAGTTTTTGTCAAGTACTGTTTATATTCAATTTTAAATAAAAAAAATTTAAAGTAATTTTTGACCGCACGATGTACGATGAACGAATATAATTGGAAAATTTCCAGAATTTTCACAAAGAGGATCCGGCGAGGATCCTCCTGGGTATTCTATACCACATTTTCTTCATTACAAAAGATTATTTTTCCAATAAAAAAAGGGAATTGTTATTGGCACTCCAAATTTCTCATTCTACACTCCAAGCTTTCTATATTTAGAAAGAAAAATACACTTGTGATAAGTGTAGAATGAGATTTTTGGAATGCCAATAACACTTCCCTAAAAAAATGTAATATCCTTTGTTTTTACTTTTGTTGTCGATCTTTTTAAAGATTTTAAACAAGCCTTAATCTATTGAAAATGTTACATCAGATAAGCCCAGTGAAATTTCTATTATATTAGCTAGGGCATAGAATTATGGTCTCCACCAACTAACAGTCACCACCACCCCATCAAGTCATCGCCTCCAAACCCAACACACAACAACCAACTCCACTCTACAACTCAAGCCGCCAACATTGAAAAGAAAGTCATGAAAGTTGCTGAAATGGTATGGATTGCCATTTGAGGCCACCACCATCTTTACCACCCACAAAAAATAACTGGAAGGTTTACGAGTCGAGAATCGATGAATGAGGAAATCACATAAGCAGAACCAAGCTCCTTGAAGCTATATCTAACTTCTAAAACCTCTTTTTTGTTAGGAGATTGCCCTCATGGTGCAATTTTGATTTGGGTCAATTTTTGATTCAATTCAATACACATTTGATCATTCGGTTCTATATTAAGCAGAGCCAAGCTCCTTGAAGCCTTATATAACTTCTTAACCCTCTTCTTTGTTAGGAGATTGCCCTTATGGTGTCATTTTAATTTGGGTCAATTTATGATTCAATTCAATACACATTTGATCATTCAGTTCTATATTATACAATCTATATTTGAAATTTGGAGACAACTAATATTCATATTGACCATGATATACCTAGTTGGTGGGTTTTGAATATAAAGGTTGGGATGGGGTTTCAGTGGTCGTAGGTTGAGTTAGGAAATGGCGAGTGTTTGATATTTCTTGATCTTCATTTTTGTTTTTCATTTTCTCTGTGATTTTTTTTTCATCTTCGTTTCTTTTTGGAAATTATTTTCATTATTATTTTAGTGATCACATAAGCTAAAAAGTGAGACCCATATTGTTGCCACATGTACATTTGATGGAGAAAATTAACTGAGGCTTAATAGATGTTACATTTTCAAAAGGTCAGATACTTGCTTGGAATGTTAAAAAAGTTTGAGATCAATTTAGAATAACACTAAAAGATTAGAAGGTTTTAGAAACTTAATCTTTTAATTTTTTTTTATTAAAATATTTCACAATTTTTGGGTGCGTTGAAAAGTTTGTATTTATGTTTAGACTTAAATATAAAATTTGAGTCTCATGCGACGACCTTCTACTTTTTACAAAATATTTTCTAACATCTTATGTTTATTTGATTGGTACTAACACCTTATGTTAAATGTTATGTGAAAACAGAATGTTACATGTTCTTTCCAGATTTTGATATAATTTAGTATCATTTTATGTGTTAATTTTTATCCGCATAACATTTTAGGTTAAGCCACATTTGCACTTTAAGAAAAGTTCGTGCATCGTTGATCACCCAACAATAATGAAAATCAAATATTTGCAATATACTAATGTGCTTATGTAATAACATAATAGTGAGACGGTAATTAGTTGACAGGATATTTTTTTTATTAACGCTCTCATTAATAATTATTTTGCTTTCAGTTATTTTGATGCATGCAAATAGTTAATCATCAGATTTAAGAGTCTAAGCTTATCAATTGCCACCAAAACCAACCAGTTAGAGACTCGTGCTAACCTCCTCTTTTTTAGTATAAGGGTAATATTAGGGAAATCAAAATTTGAAATTAAATTTGCAAATTAAATATATGTCATAATAGGAATAAACACGTTAATCAATATAAAAATTTACAGACTAAATGATGTGTTACTAATATGAATAAGCACATTTTATCAATGCTTAAGTCATAATCATATCATCAACTACTATATTATTTAATTTGTAAAATTTAATATCACTAGCATTACTCTTAATATAAATACAAGCAAAGCTCCATTCTTTCAGAACAGGCAGCATGCAACGCATGCACAGTGAGCTCCCGTAGGGGAGAGAGAGAGAGAGAGAGAGAGAGAGAGAGAGAGAGAGTGAAAAAGAAGTTGTTGGCATTAGAGGTGCCGGTGGTAATGAAGGTGCTTGCAGAGAGAGAGTGAAAAAGAAGTTGTTGGCATTAGAGGTGCCAGTGGTAATGAAGGTGCTTGCTTTGGCTTGATGTGTACGTGGAGTAATATTATAGCTTTGGAATTTAGGTATTTTGGGAAACTTATCACCGTTTGAGTTTGTCTTATTTAGTGTTGTGAAACATGTGTTCTACTTGGGATATTTATAACTAATATAGTTGTTCTTTAAAAAAAAATTAAAAAAAACTAATATAATTGTTTATATTTGAAGTTTGATATATTATTGTTATTTTGGATAATATGAAATCATGATATGTTAATTATATATATATATATATATATGCAAATATCATTGCATATTGAAGTCAAATGATTTTATTGGATATTTGAGATTTGGATATGAAAATGGAAATATTCTTTTGTGTGGTTGAGTTTGACTTTTATAGGAACCAGTAAGGCTGTTAAAAGTGAAATTATAGGAATGGTATGAAGTAGCGTAGACTTTGGCGATTGAGGGAAGAATAAGATGACTAACAAAAGGGGTATTTGGGTTGATTGAATTCCGGGTGTTAGTTTATATAATAGAGCTTCCAAACCACCGTTGTAGTGATACAATGCAATATTAGTTTATATAAGATAATTTCATTTCCAAACCCCTTTTTTGTTCTCTTTGCTTTTATTTTATTTTGTATTCGTGCACCAGGTGCGGGTTATTTTTTTCACTGACACCGAATTCGGGTGTGACAGATGAACAAGGTTGTGGGGAGATAGGAAAAGAAATAAGAAAATAGTGAATGAAAACAAAATTTAAAAGTGAAAATAACTTAGAGGCCATTTGATAACCATTCGGTTTTCACTTTTGTGAAAAACTGAAATCTTATTTGGTAACTACTTTTAGTTAAAAAAAAAATGAAAATTGAAAACTACTCTATGAGTTTTCAATATTTGGCCTATTAGTTTTTAGCTTTTTTTTTTTTTAATTGAATATAATTACCAAATAAGATTTTAATTTTTAAAAAAGTGAAAAATGAAAACCAAAAACAAAAAATTGAATATGAAATGATTATTAAACAGCCCCAGCCTTAATTGGTTTTTAATTTTTATTTTGTGCCTTTCTTAATACATTCTTTTTATATACATCTCTCTCCCACCATCATTCATCTACTCTTTTTCATCCTTCTGTCCCTAACAACTCATTATCTTAGCACCTCAACAGTTTGTTTTCAATCGATCCTTGTTCTTTATGTATTAGGTTTTTATCACAAGTGGTCTTTTATATTTTGAAAACTCGTTAGTCTAGTCTTTTATATTTCAAACTCATAAGTTTGATCCTTAATCTATTGCTTTGGTCATTAAGATTGTCCATGCCGTCTATTTCCACATAAAACATTCTCAAGAACACTATTATTAAAAACGATTTTACTAAAACACAATAAAATTCATAATTAAAAATCCGAGTGTTTAATAAAAACAATTGAAGTACTTTCCGAAGAAAAAAAAACATCCGTCGAAAACTTCTAGTGCACAAGAATGAAAAGTCATTTCAACTCGGAACCCTACCATTCAACAATTGGCAAATAAAATGCGACAAAGGTACACTGGGCTACTAGCCTGCCGTCGCAATTGTGCGTTGTGCTATTCAATTGATTGCTCAACTTTCCTGGTTGAAAGAAAGAAGAACGAACACGGCTGAGCATAGATTTTTACATTGTATTTGTACTTACTCCTTGACAAGCTCTCGGAATTTTCTATTATGCTTCGGAGTATTCTATATATCAAAGTTGAAAGAACGAAGAACGAACACAAGAGTTTTGTCTCATTCCAGTAATCCTTGGATATATACAACCAATTACAATGCATATTTCCGATCCCTACTTCCTTGAGCTAAAATTATATGGTGCTCAAGGGTACATGATGCTCTGGGCTTTTAACCATTAATCTTGGCTTTTGTTTCCTTGATTAAAGATCTAACGGTTAAAACGTCAAAAATAATCGATACTAAGAATATAGAAAATCTCCTTTCTTGAGTGAAAACTAGTTTCTACCGGTGTAAAATGTTCTCTTGTTGAAGTTGCGTGTACTCAAAAGAGTGTGGGGGTATGACAGTGGCAGATCAATACCCACAATCACATGGAGCTTAGGATTCGGTCTGGAGACATGCCAAGGGAACAAGTCAAGCTGATTGAATCTGGTTGATGGGGAAAGCCAGAATCTAACCCCAAGAATAACTCATCAACATAAAAAAACACCATGTGTAAACACATACAATGCACCATAGTAACCAGCTCGACTGGAATAAGTGTCGGTCTGAGGCTGCTTTTGGAAGGGCTAAAATGCTTTCTGACAACCAAAAGGGTTCCTAATCGCCGATTATGTTTGCTATGTGTTTCTTCTGGTAGCACATCAAGTGCTTTTCTAGAAAGCACTTGGAGTTTTAATTAACATTTCCACATGTTTCTAATTAAAACATTTCTCACAGAAGCGCTTAGTAGTAGAAGTGCTTCTTACACAAGCAGTCCCAAACAAACCCTAAGTTGGAATATAATAAGGCACAGAGGATGTACCGAGAATGTCTTCATCAATTAGTTGCACTCACTTAAGTGCAGGACAAAATTACAGGTTGAACCGTGACCACGTCAGTGGTTAGGTGAGGACCACGAGGTACCACCCTAATGTTCTTCTGGGACTCGGTGATTGATGCATGTCATGTTCCACAAGTTACATTTCAGTCTTGAGCCTAACCTAATCACAATTACGAACTATTAATTGAACAGCACATGATTGAGACAAAAAGCACATGATGACAGATTAAGGTATTTCCATCCCTCACACCTACTGAGCTTCTCAGATTTGAACTACTGCAGCAACTTAATATGTTTTTCGTTCTAATTTCCTGTATACCTTTTTCTAATACATTTCTTCTACGTCTCTTCCACCATCCTTCCTACACTTTTCTATATTCCTCATTCTCCCATGTAGTTCCCCTCCATGCTAAAATCTAAAAACAAAATGATTATCAACGGGCGCTTAGTCTAAAAACAAAATGATTATCAACAGGCGCTTAGTCTCTAGTTTTTAGTTTTTGTTTTGAGTAGCACTCCAATACATTTTCTCCCAACTCCATCCCTCCTTCCTCTCTTCTCGCACCTCTTTCCTTCCCCTATGTATTTCCCTCTTATCTTTAACTAAAGAGAAATAACAGAAACCAAAGACCAAAAACGAAATGTTACCGCACAGTCCCCGAAACCTTCAAAATTTGCAGTAACGTGCTTTTGGGGTTCACCTATCTAAAGTAATGTACTTTTGGTGTCTTAGTTAAAACTCACAGGGAGGTTAGTTAAAAACAGCTGCTTATTCATCCTTTCATAGTTACAGCACCTGAAACTAAATTTTGTGTATGTAATTTCCTCCCACATGTACTACTTTATCCCAAGAAATTGATCCTCTTTTAATGTATATGCTACTACTACCCATTCAGTCTATCATTTATATACAAATAAATGCTTACTGGGTCATTTTCTAAATCGTGAGCCCTTGTCTGGTCGACTCTTTCATCCCACACAGAAGCCCAGAAGAAAAGAGACATCCAAAAAAGAACAGCAAAGAAGATCTGTACTTTGTCCTGAAATTTGGAGAAAGATGCTGCAAGACCTGTTCCATAAAAAGTTAGAAACAGACCGGTGAGAAACTTGAGGTCAGTGCTCTATACAAAGTAAGCCTGAACTAGGAGAAACAGAGCTGCACGATTCTGAAAAGCTTGAATAACCATTATATATGTGATAGGCAAGTAGTTATATAGCAAGATGTGGCAACATGTAAGCTTTGTAAAAGTGAACATGTAAGAGTATCCGAACATCATTACAAATAAGAGAACACATTCAAAAAGAGAGGAAAGGGAAGGCGGGAGGCAGGAGGGATTTTCCATCAACCAAATATTTCACAATCTAATGGCGTCATGTACATAGCCTAACCTAAACGTATAGTTACATTTATTTCAATTAAATGCAACTCAATTCTTGGCTCTCTTTAGTGCCCCCTCATATGTGGGTTTCTCTCTGCCATTAGAGCCTAATATGTTCAAATTGGATCATATTGTAAGGATGCAGTTGCAAGGATTCAAACTCAAGATATCCCGCTTCAATACTATGTAAAGCATTTGAGATAAGAATAGCTGAATTAATCTTACATTAATTATGATTAAAGTGATAACCACCCTTAAGAAGCTAAGATTGACTGCACTCTATTAGGTCCCCAGACTACTCACTCCTGATCAAACAGGCCCTTAAATTCCGCATCTAAATCTCATCTCCATAATGGAAATTCAGTGAAACAACCAACGAAACAAAACAGCAAGCAGTCAGACACACATACAGTTCTCTCTAAACAAACAACCGATTACAGATTGTGTATCCTACCAATATCTTTACGATACAAGACACCAATACGATGATTAGTTTATCCAAAGGACTAAAGTACCATTCCCGAAAACACATGATTACCTCAATTACACATCATATCGCCAACAATCCCAAGAAAAATCTCCTTTAAGGCTCACTTGTTATCCTTTATCTGATTCTCACACACTAGTCCACATAAACAACAGCTATAACGTACGCAACCAACCTATTTTTGTCTTCTATATATCCAATAATACTACAAAGCCATATCAGCCTTTTCAATAAATAGTCATATAGTTGGATCATGTTTATGATACAAAACAACATACCGTGATTCATTCAAAATATTCTCCAGAAAGATGTTGGCTGGGTGAACAGGATTTTCAACTAAATAAACATCCATTAAAACTTGCTTCCTTACAAATGACATGCACTGAAAACAAGAACTTTCTGAAATTCTTTTTTATTAAAAAAAAAAAAAAAAGATGACAATGCGAGGGAAGCTTCATTTCTATCATAAAAACCTATAAAAAGTGCTTGGCCTTTAAAACCCGCTATATGAGACACTACCTCTGGCCAAGTATTATATATTCCTGGTGCAATACCTCTAACCAATTAATAGTTTACATATGGAATAGGCTGGACCTTTGAAAAACTAAAAAATTATTGTATGGAAGAATTAACAAAGAAAGAAATGAAGAAGAGTAAAGGAGAATACAGTTTTTGTGGAGAAACATACATGATACATCCATAACCAACACACTTCGTGCGCTGGTAATCTCATTGGGTTTATTTGTGAAACACTGATGCTATAAGTTCCACCATCCTTTTTTACCACTATTTTCAAATTGCTTACAAATATGAGAATTTGGAACATCAATGTTGAAAATGAAGTTTCTTTTAGAGAGATGAGGTAAATGTTGTTGTTAGGTATGATACTAGTAGTGGGTTGAATAATTAATGATACTCCGCAAGTAGAAGGATTATGCTAAAATATAGCATTAGAGTATGCTAAAATGCAGCACTTGGGCATGGTGACACTTTGATTGCAACTTTGGTATGAGGCAACAACACCAACAATTAAATATACTTTTATAGTATAATAAACATGGAATTCAGGCATTCATACAGCATTGCTTGGACAAGTTTAGCACAAAAGACTGGAGATAATTCAAGTGCATCTTCAATGGTTGGGTGCTCAATTGATTTTAGCACATACAAATATCAAATATGCCATAATTTGGTACATCTACTCCCATGGTTTGGATCATTTTTCAGAACATCAGTACTTTTCTTCTTCCGGTTATCAGTTTTTTTTCCTTACCAAGCATACTTTATTCAACTAACATAATTGGTGTACCATTCCTCTTTAACCATCATTTCTCAAAATGAAACCATAAGTATCCACATTTAACGCAATTCTAACGGTAAATTCCATTTTTTTCGTGCCAATGCTATTTTTGTCACACCCAATTAACAAAATAAACCATTGAAGTACATTTGCCAAATTCCAGTGTACTTAACATCTAGGCATGCTGTAGCATATTTGGCATTTAGATGTGCCGAAATATATAGCATTAACATGTCCAACCATACACTCTTAGAGCTAACTACAACCGTTTGCGTTAAATTTATCATCCTAGTTCTATCTTGCAGTGTAGAATACCTAAATGCTATATTTTAGGATGCTACGGTTTGCGCTATAACTTCTTGTGACAGCTTGTAACACTGAATCTGAATGCTATTGTTTAGCACACTCACTCCAAGTCTCCAATTACACTCATATTTTAGCGGAACTTAATTTTTTACCATCCTATACATCAACAGACACTCCATTTACCATAAGAGTGCGTGTAAGAGTGCGTGTAAGGCACTAAAGATTATAACTTTTGAGAATTGCAATAACAAGCTTAGAACATCTTCGTTCTCCAATATACAATAGCAATACTAATTGAACATCAAACTCTAAAAATTTCCATAAGACCCAAACAGAGGAATTCGAATTCCGCCGTTTGGGTTCAAAACGTCTGCTTGGAAAACCTAGCATGGAAATGAAACTAGAGGGTCTAATTTTCAACGAATTATAAGAACAATAGTAGTCAGTTAGCTGTACCTGCGAGGCTGGTCGAGTCAGAATCCGGGGGAGGGAGAGGCGGTCCTGATTGGGCGGCAAGGCAACGGCCGGGACGAGAATAAGAGAGACGGATGGACGGCGGGGATGAAACGGAAAGGGGGAGACGTGATCAGCGGAAGTAGACGAGGGAAGTGGTGGCCGGCGGAGGGGTTTGAGAAGGAGGAGAAGAAGAGGGAGTTTGGGCGGGGGAGTGGTAATGGCGGGTTTGTGTAGTGAAATGGTGTCGAGGGAAGTAGAGTTGCTGCTGCCATTTTTGGGAAGTTTGTTTGACGTTTGAAGCCAAATTGGATTTATATTGGTGCTAACGTGTAAGTTTTGCCTTGTTGATTTGGGGTTCATTTTGTTGGGCTCAAATTCATTTTAATGTTTAGAGCCAAGTCTAATCCTAATAAAAGACATTATTTTACTCCTATACACCTCTGTTTAATCATATTCGTTGTTTTAGTTTGATATATTCAATCAGATAAAATAAAATAAAAATAAAAATAAAAGTAATAGTGAGATGTTAAAAGTAAAGTGTGAAAATCAGCTAAAAATGGGAAAATAATATGGTTTGTCGTACATCGTGTGGTCGGAAATCATTTGAAATTTAAAATTAAATCTAAATAGTACCTAAGAAAAACTGACCGCACGATGTACGATGAACGGTAACGATCACAGAATCCCTAGTAAAAGGATTTGGCGAAGATCCCTTTCTAAAAAAAGGACAATACATGATATAGCATCCTTGTTGTTCCAAACTTCAACTACCTAAGGTCTTTCACAGTGGTTTGGTTTAGGTGAATATAATGTTTATATATAAGAATCAGGCATCGTAAATTTGATTCGTATTACACTACTGAAACAAAGTAATGAACATACCAATTATGAAGTTTTATCTTAAAACACCTTGGTACTGTAGTGGTGAAATACGCACCTGTGTTTTGATGTGGGATTAAATTCATCCACATCCATAACTTGTATTGAGCCACATAACTCAAACAGATACTTAACAAAAGTTCAACACTTTGTAAGGTCAAGTCTGACGTACGAGTCCATCGTGTGGAAGAGACAAACGGCGAGAAAAAACAGAAGTGGGATATGAAACGGAATATAAATCGGTGCAGAATAAGCAGAAAAAGAAAGAAGTTTTGAAAACTTGGATCCAAGGTAGGAAGCCGACGAAACAATGAAGAGGAAAGGTGGACAGAAACAACGACAAGTGTTTGAAGGGTTAGAAGATTGGGTCTCCCTTAAAATATCATCCATTTGAAAACTCAATTAAGTGAAAAATCGATTAGCCATTTGGTTATCCTAACAATCATTTAAGTATATTTATAAAAAATTTGTTCAAACCCGATTTTGTAGGCGCAACTCATATACTTTAAGTTGTTGGATGACGAAATAAATGAAGTTGATTAGACCCGATTTTTCTAGAAAATTATTAGGATTCTGGTCATGATAATCATCTTTGACATCTGTTGTGATTCTAGTTATGGTACAACTAAAATTGATTTGAGAGGGGGAAATTGTTGGCTTGATTCTGGTCATGATAATCGCTCTATGTGAATTTTCACGATTCTGTGTGAGATTTAACCTTGCTAACTCTAGCGCGGGGATCGATTGGATAGACGAGGTTAAGTTGATAGTCAATGGAGAACAACCGACTGGATAGACAAAATTTCTAGAGGAAACTAGTGAAGATGACCCGTTGGATAGACAGGTTACAGATGTAGAACTAGTTTGACCTAAATAGACCGATTGATTGGTTATTTATCTAAGTCTTGATGGTGAGGTATTATTTTTGATACTTCGCTGAAGAGGTCGTCCCACTAGCTTTCTCAATGAGCGCGATGTTATATGATTGGATATAACCTCAAGCGACATTCAGAGTTCGGCACGAGAGCGTCCAAACCATGTTTAAGGTTTAAACCTTCATCTTCTTTGAGTATCTTTGTCTTCATAGCCTGTTGCAAGTTTGGAGATCTGAAAGTTCTTTTGGGAAATGCTTTTAAATTATCCTTTAAAATTATTCTAATCATTAAGAGGAGGGAGGAACCCAACACCATATCCATTAGGATATTGGACCGCTTTTGAATGACTAAAAGCGATTTTAGAGAAAATATTTTTAGAACTAATCGTTAATAAAAATGCAAGTTAATCTTGAAAAAACACTTGGAGTGCTTCCTGCGAGAAGCACCTCTTCAAGTTCTTTTGGAACCTAAAAATATTTTCTCTAAAAGTTTTAGTCTTTCAAAAGCACTTTCTTATATTCTAAAAAATAAGGAGTTTTAACGAAACACTTCCGGTACTGCTCACGTTTAACGAAAATGACATTTTTACTCTAAACAGTCACTCTTGATACTATTCACCTACAGCACATTTTTGTCATTTTGATTACAACTCAAAATTTCCAAGTCTTTTTCATTAGTTTTTCTTAAAAAATATAATCGAGGATACCGAAATCAACGTTCACAATACGGACCTTCACAGTGATTTGCATGGTCTTACCTTCTGATTGTAGAATTTTGAACAATAAGTTCCTTACTCGGTCGAGATCGCTTAATTCAAAAGTGAGTATCGATGCAATCAATAGCATCACCACTATACCGAAGTATTCGAATGCATAGCCGATCTTGGCCTCGATTTGGCACAGCCGCATTCAGTTGGATGCTCCTGAAGAACGTAGTTAGGTCCTATCTACTTGGCTTTCCCGTCACGTAAATTTTGTAATTTTTAAAACCAACAACTAGTAAAATTAGTAATCTAATATAGTGTAAATGACCTTTAAAGTAAATTGAATACTAATTAAATGGTAATTCAGTTATGTAAATGTATCGACTTGTGTTATCAATTAAGCCCATAACATGTCGAGACATTTAGTTGGGGACATGCTTACAATTCATTTTTTAATAGAGACAAAAAATTATGTTCTTAGTTGTACTAAAAATATTACAACCTATAACAGTACCAACTTTGGCCATAATCATAGATTCCAAGACTACCATTTTTCCACTCATTTTGTTTCTATTGCGCTTTTTTCTTTCTTTGTGTGATTGTGTACCTTGAATTTCCTTAGATTAATAATTCAATTCTAAATTGTGCATTTGCAATTCTTCTCAAAGTTGAATCCCTTCTAAGGTTGAACTATTCGTAGAATTGAATTAAGTGAACACATTACTAGGCTTTAATTCTATTTTCGTTATGATTCCTAGTATAAACATTGATGTCATCGTAACCAGTTCCTGGTCATTTTGATTCCAAGCGTGCAAACATATGCCCAAAAAAGAAACGTAAGGGACGGGTGGGGTTTTCGGGTGTAATGATTGACACATCCTGACCGAAATCAAGGCGTGTTGGGAATACTAATTACACAACACCCAAAGGTGATCCTACATTTGTGATGTTCTTTTGGACTGCACTTAGGCTTTCTGTGCTCTGATACCAAACTGAAACACCTAACCGAAATCAAGGAGTGACACCCAGCACGCCTTGATTTCGGTCGGGGTGTCACGTCTTGATTTCGGTCAGGGTGTGTCAATGGTCCTCATCCCTTTAGGGTAGGGTAAGGCCATCTCCAACCAACCCAGCCAAAGGGCTATAGGGCTAAAAATAGCTTAAAATGACACAAAAACTGTTTCCAACCGAAGACTAGGCCAAAGGGCTCGTCGGCTCCACCGGGTCAAATATTGGAAAACAGGCCAACCAGTTAGCCCAAAGGAGTCATCCAGCCAGCCAGCCAGCCCCAGGCCGACCCAAAATTCAAAAGCAACGACTACCTGACTTCAGCATGACGCTAGCTTGCAACGGCTAGCTGACGTCAAATTACCGTTGCATTTGAATATTTTTTTTTCGGACATTTTTTTTTTAATTCTAATTTTGTTTCCAATAAATACCTAAGCCATTCCTACACCATTTCTCACATAATTTTCACCATTTCATACTATCTTACCTCATTTTACGTCAATTCTTCACATTCTATTATCTTACCTCTTCCAATAATCTTTCCTTCAATTTTTTCAATAATTTTCAAATGGCCACATTTGCAATGAAAGGTAGGGCCACATCTTCAATGAAAGGTATGGCTTGGACCCGAAAAGAAGATGAAGCTGTTTGCAGGGCTTATAGATGGGTCTCAGAAGATAGTGTGAAGGGGAGTTTTCAAACAAGTAGAGGTGCTTGGACTCGTACATCCAAAAAGTACTATGAGTTCTACAAATGCACCACTTCACTGAATTCCCGAAACCACGAGAGTTGTTCTTCAAGATGGAAAAAACATCTTCATCCAAGTTTGAATAAATGACTTCAAGCAGTGTTAAAGGCTGGAAGCAGACATGAAAGCGGAGTCAATTACTACGACGAAGTAAATGTTTTCACAAGTTATTTTAAATATTTAATTATATTAAATTTAATTTTATAAATTAATTTCCTTTAATTTTTGTTATTATATTTTATAGGTACGCTAAGCAGAGGAATTTTATATGAATTGTATATGGAGGACAACTCGAAACCCTTTAGTCATCATGGTTGTTGGGAAATTTGTAAAGGGTGGGTGTTATTTGAAGATCCACCTTAAGAAAGATTTGGTCCTACGCAGGTGTTTGGAAATGTTTCCTCAAATGCAATTGGGGATGAACATGGATCTCCTACCATTCAAGAAACAAAGGTAGAAAATCCATCTCCGAGTGAAGTTTCCATACCTAGGACTACGGGACGAAACAAGGCCCAAACATTGAAGGAAAAAGGCAAGGCAAAGGATGATTATGCCTTTCAACAGGAAATGGTGTCCTTATTGCGATTAATGGGGGAGCAAAATGTCTTTGGTGCAGAAGAAAGGAACCGTAGGCGCGAAGAACGGGCAAAACAAATACAAGAAGAGATGAATGATAGGAACATGCAAAAGAACACTTCGAATTACACTCCAATGAGTAAGGCATAATTTGATAGGAAAAAGAAGGAAATTATGGCCCAACCGAAGTTGTTTATATCGGACTATACTCCTACAATGGCAGATGAAGATGATGATTATAGTGTTTAAATTGAAGTTATTGTAGTCTTTCATATTTAAGTTGTAGTTTTTAAATTGAAGGTGTTGAAGCCTTTAAATTGAAGTTGTAGTCTTTAAATTTAAGTTGTAGTTTTTAAAATGAAGTAGTTGAATCTTTAAATTGAAATTGTTGAATCTTTAAATTGAAGTTGTTGTAGTTTTTAATATGTCCGAAAATCTTATTTTAATAACGTAGTTTAATTTATTTAACCATATTAATTCAATTAAAATAATAAATTATGTTTGACCTATGACCCTTTGGCCTCCTCGGTTGGAGATTGTTTTTTGTCACAGGACTATATTTGGCTTATGATTCTTTGGCCCCCTCAGTTGGAGATGGTATGAAATATGGTATATCACTGTTCATTAAAATATAATTTCTTGGAGGACTATAGGGTTAAAGGGAGCCCTCTGACCCTTCTTCGGTTGGAGAAAGTCTAAATGGGAAAAAGATCCCCGCCAGATCTTTTTCTTGGAGATCTTAGGGATTCTATGATCGTGACTGTTTATCGTACGATCAGTTTTCATTAGGTATTATTTATATTTAATTTTAAAATTTTACTTTTGAAATAATTACTAACCGCACGATATACGATGAACGATCACAATCACAAAATTCCTAAGATCCCTAAAAACAAAACGGTGCACTTTTGAAGTGTTGTCTTATCCATTATACTACGGTCGCTTTTTATGAATTATCGCCAGCTGCCAAAAGCATGACGTCTCATTGTTTTGGTACACATTGTGCGTATACATCTGACCTGTTTAATCCATTAATTTCGACATACATGACATCAACACAGTGTATGGTTGCACAAGAATTCATGAAGACAGAAAATGATAATTAAGCACAATGTAAGACAAAAGTAGTACTGATAAGGTGAGATTAATATATAATTAGTTGTATAATATTTGGCAACTTAAAAGAACAAGAAAATTTTTATTTAAAATTATTTATTATCGATTTATAAGATTTTGTGTTTATAATAAAAAATGTCCACAAAGATTCATTCTACAAAAAAATCAATTAAAATTAAAATCATTTAGTCATCAAACTATATAAAACAAATGAACGAAATTGATAAAAGTATTACGAACCGTCTATGTATTTGTTACAATAAATTAACAAACGACTTTAGTTTTAATTCAACTTTTGCAAAGATAATCTTTACAAAGTGATTCATAATAATAACAATTTTAATCATAAGCACAAAACTCTGTAATTCGAACACAAAAAACTTTGAGAAAGAGTTCTTACTCATACCTAAATAGCCAAACATTGTTGAAATTAGTCAGTATCTACGAACACATAATAGGTGCAACTGCACATCTAAATGATTGATAATTAAGGTTACTTTAACTTATCTTTTCAGAGCACACCGTGCATGAGCAGCTACAGCTAGGTAGAAGGTTCACCTAATGAGTAGCATATGCTAAGTTTCTATATATGGAAGGGTAAAGAACAAGATAGATTCATGGCTGAAATAGCTTATTTCCACATCTGCATTTCCAGGAGAGCAAATAATAGCTTTCACCTTCTTCTCCATGAGATGACAAACTGAGACGCTTTGTTTTGTGGACCGGAATCACCAGAGTTGCAATGCAAGGCCTGCAATTCAAACATTTGTTCTGGCATCCTGGAGGCCTTGAACCCAGCACCATTTTGCTTTGCAAGAACAGATCATCACTACTCTCATTGTTATGGCTTGATTGCACAGAATCCACTGGACAGTTTTTGAAACCAGAACCAAAAACCAAAATTAATGAAGATTAATTTCGTTTAGTTAACTATCATTAGCAAGTAAAAAGTATAAAAATAAAATATAAAGAAAACCCTAACCCTTCATCAGTAAGTACTTTGTACTCTAAGAACAGAAGAACAGAAGAGAGAACAGTAAGATGATGAAATGAAAAAGTGTCAAACATTGTAGTTTACAGACCCAACAGAGAAAACCCAATTCGTATTTTCAACTTTGAAAGGGAACAGAATGCTCCAATCCTAAACAGTTTTTGTTAAAGTGGGTAGGTGGTAGCCGGTAGGGTTTTAAATAATTATACCTGATTTGGGAAGTAAAGTCGTGAGTAAAAAGATGGAAGCCACAGTGATTATTGCAACTTTGAGGCCACGTACACGGTAGTTTCTGGTTGAAGGAGCCATCTGGAGCAGTACTCTTTGAAGGACCTGGATAAATCTTAAAATCCACTATTGGGATGTTCTGTTACAGTGAAGAGAAGGGATGCTGTGCAAGAAGAACAGGAGAAGAAAAGATTGGTGGTTGATAAATGAAGAGGCTGTAATTTAAAGAAGGTATTTATATTATTTTTAGACAAAGGTGGAATTAAAATTTAAAAATGCTGTTTCATTTCGACACTACATTTCTCTGTTGCCTGCCTTAGTCTTGCATTACACACCAATAAAAAGACACTGATTTTTGTTGAAAATGTAAATTTTTCTGGGTCTTTTTGGGGGCTGTTGCACCTGACACAAGGTTTTTAGTGAAAGACTGAAGTGACTATTTGACGATCTTGGGATAGGCATCTTGGTTAATCCATTGTCTTACAAAATGGTAGCACCCATCGGCCAATCACCTAAAAATATACTTCATCTCTCTTCTTTTATTTTTCTCTAAATTATTTATGTACAAATACTTTCTTGCTTGTGATTGGTCTTGGATTTCAAGATTAGTTAATGTAGCGATGAATTTTGTGATGTCGCATTAAGGTGAACAATACAATCTGAGTTTATCGGCATCCATTTTCGTTTGTAAGGATTCTAAACAAGGATGGTCTCCCTGCCCCTATTTAACTTTTATTTGAAGTGTATAAGGGTTTGACGCCCTATTTATTAGTGAGTCCTGTTGTATTTTCTTTGTTCAATCTTGTCAACGTGTTTGTCTGTTAGCCCTTTGTGGCTTTCCGTCCTTTTGGTGCGGCCATGATAATGATATTCCCAAATTTCCAAAAAAAAAAAATATATATATATATATATATATTTGTCGAAATTTTGATATACAAATATCTAAAGAAAAGGAAAATGATGGAGAAGACTACACCCATATTACTATTCTATAAGTTAAGGACCATTTCCTCAATTATTATCAAATATTTGTCGGAACAAAATGCTAGCCAGTAGCATTCAACTATGGTATAGAATAATAGAAATAGTCCAAACAATTCCTACAGTCAATAGTCGTCCTTTCTTAACTGGTGATTGAGAAAGTTGATTGGATTGGTCAGTTTTTTACCATTTGTAGAAAAAACAAGGAGATAAAACAAAGTAGAAGATGATCATTTTTCTCCTGTGAATAATGTAATTTGATTTTGTAAATTTTATAATTGAAATCGTTAGATTTTATAATTTTTATTTAAAAATTATTTTAATTAGAGATTATTTAGTCATATAAACAGGATGTGTGTACAATCATGTGTCAACAGTAAATTCACATGAAAATTTACATAGATATCACATGTCAACAAAAAACTGTACACACATCCTGTAATTAGATTAAATCTGTTATGTATACCTTTAATTTATTTATGTTTGGTTAGTCTACGATATTCTTCGATTTAATGAATGATAATTTTGTGATGTGATCACGTTCACGAGTAACAATATATCTTGGTGGTATAATCAGACATCTATAAAGAATTTAATAATGTCACTATGTGTTAGTAACTATAACTTATCAATTTTTGCGATTTAGGCGTTAAATGTTATGTCATGTTGTAACATTATTAAACGTGAAGGTATAGAACTCAAAAATGAACAATGATACAAAATTGTATTCCATAAGAAAATATATAATAGATTAATAATATGTATATTGAAATGAAAATCGTTGCCCTTGTAACAGATATTGTTTACAATTGAGAATAGCCAATAAACTGAGTTTTTGCTTGATTAAAGTGAAAACTTACTCTGTTTGTCCAAAAAAAAAAAAAAAAGGTGAAAACTTACTCACATGCATAAGTTTAACCCTCTATGTATTTACTAGGAGTAGCTCCAGTGGGAGCTAATTGCCCAATTAATGGGCAATGGAATCCACAGCCGCCCCACCTCTCCCAAAACCCCGAATGGCTCTAGCCCAGTCAAGCAATTGGGTTCAAGGTGAGGCCGAGGAAGAAGTCCAGCCAAAATCCACAATCTTAGCGCCTAACCCATATGATGCAAGGCTAACGTCAGCGTGACGTTAGCCTCAATTTAAATAATTAAAAAATAATAAAAAATTTCAAAAATTATTAAAAATACAGAAAAAATCTAAGAAAATTTTAATTTTTATACTAATATACCTAACCATACTCTTCCACCTTTGGTTAAAAAGCATATCCGAAATTAAAAATGAAGTTAATTTTATTATTTTATTAAAAAATGATAATAATATTTTAATACCAATAGTCTAGGCTATTCAGTTTAAGGATTAAGATGCACTTGGGCAGTTATTATTTATGTAAGATAATTACTGTTCATTTAAAGAAATTGAGTTGTCTATTGCTAAAGAGAAGGTGAAAAACTGAGATTTGCTTTAACCATAATACTGTTTATAGAGCAGTGTATTGGAGAATCCAAGCAATATTAATTTATCACCGCAATAAATAGGTACAAGTGACCTCTCTGGTCATGAACACCATGAGAAAGACTCCAAGCTCCTCCAGTTGCACACCTGATAAAAGTGAGTACGCCAAAACAGTTTTAAGATTTTCACCGAAAAAGTAAACACCGAACAGTTCTAAAGATTTGTAAAAGCAAACACCAAACAGTTCTAAAGATTTATAAGCAAACACCAAACAGTTCTAAAGATTTATAAGCAAACATCAAACAGTTCTAAAGATTTATAGAAACCTGAGGACCAGAGATTTTCGTTACTTTCTACAGCTTTTGGACTTTGCAGAACAAGAAGTGGCAAAATTAACTGCCTCTTGGGAAACCTGCAATATTAACTCCTTTTCTTTCTTCTAGTTCAAGCTCCTCAATTTTCCAAAGAACTGGTTTGAAAACTGAGCAGCAGTTCAGCACTTATCCCCAAAAACAGAAAAAAAAAATAAAAAATAAAAAAAAAGGAGAAGAAGAAGAAGAAACCCTACTGATGATAATGAACTAGAGCACAAATGAAATCCCCAAGACCTTGCACTTTGAATTATCAAGTAGATGTTGTGGAAGCTCTCTTATTATCTCGCATTTAGAAATGAGAAAAAATTAAGGTGTAATTTCTTTTTTTGAACAAAATCATATATTAGTTTCAAAGGTTGCATTTGCATAATCAAGGTGTAATTTCTCTTACACAAAAAATAAAAAACAAGATATAATTTCAAACGTATACGACTTCATTTCACTAAGACCCTTGTCATGAATCAATCTCATCCCCTAAATTCTGCTAAATAAAATCGTAAGAAATGAGTATTGTCCTCATTCATGTGTTCATTGTGTCCTAAAAAATAAAAAATAGATCAGACATTAATTTTGTATGCCATAACTGAAAAACAATGTATGAGATAATCAAGTAGAGTTGTTTATCAAATACCTATTCTTTCTTATATATTTTTCTTTATAAGAAAACCAAACAAATTAAACAGATGGCCATGGTTGCAACCAGTTCCAATATAATCGAACATCAAAACTTTCCTCGCCACATGCGGCAAGGCCCTATCCCAAATATGAAAGTTATTAAAACTAAAACCAATACTAATAACTGCATCTATCAGGAAGTTTGCCTCCCTATAAATATGGTTTCAAGAAATTGCTTTAAAGCAGTCACCAATCACTTGATATCTTCAATGATATTCCGCAAACGCCAATGGGTAGAGCAGCAGTCTTTAATAATTAACATCAATAACAAGCTTCAAATCACCTACCACACAAACTTTCTTGAAATCTTTTCCTTTAACTAATCAAAGAGCATCCCTCAAAGCTATAGCGTCCGTAACAGAAATGTTGTTTTCACCGAAGCTTCTTGCTCGAGTAACAATTGGTACTCCATCTTCATTTCTGATCACAAATCCAGCTGCTGCTTTTGAGTTGATAACCGACCATCAGAATTGATTTTCAAGTGCCTTCTTTGTGTTTGCTTTTCAAATTTTGCTTTCTACTCGACTTATCCACATTATTAGCTTGAATATAATCATTACCAAGGGTTGAAGCTAACATATAGACCTCACTGGGAGTAGGTTTACCATTTCTAGTACCACATTATTTCTATCTTTCCATATTTACCAGCAAATTAAAAGGTTTGAAAGCTTATATTTCTTATATCTAAACCAACACACTAAAGCCAATTTTTTTAGCTCTTTATGTCCTTAATAATACAAAAATGTTGACAATATGTTTTAAATACTACTAAACTCATCACACTGTCTTATTTTTCCCCCACCTCTTAAAAAAATATTTAATAACATGTTTATTCTTTTATAAAAAGACTTTTAAACCCCTACCCCATTTCTCTTTCCCCATCCTTCTCTCCCTTCGGTTTTCATCTCTTCTTGGTCTCTACATCAACTGCCATGGCCTCTCCGTCGACTGCCACCGTCTCTCTCTTCGTCCCCTGTTTATCATTTTAGTACATTTGTTCTCTCTTTTTTCCAAAATCAATTCAAATCAGCTTGAATTTGCCTGATTAGGTTTTGATTGGATTACAATCATAGTGTTTTCAAAATTTGGGTTTGTTTTATTAGATTAGGCTCCATCCAACTTTCTAGACAGCTCATTGTTGAGTGTTTTTGGAAAATTTCAGAAATTTTGTTTTATAAAATTAGGTTCCATCCAATCATCTACTTTGTCCTCTTGACTCACACCCTCAATTTTGTTACCAATTAATGCATTATGCTTGTAAAAGAAGTTCAAGGAGGACTGGTGGTGGAAACCAGACAATGGAAGTGTGGTGAAGGTTATTTAGAAGGGAGTTTTAATGAAACACTTCCGGTACTGTTCACTTTAACAAAAAATGACATTTTTACTTTAAAAAGTCACTCATGGTTAGGGGTGGGCATAAAAATCGTCAAACCAGAAAACCGAATCTAACCGTGACAAAAAAAAAATTGTAAAAAATCGCGTTGACCAAAAAAGTCAAAACTAGAACAAAAAAGTCACTCGTCGTTAGGGGTGGGCATAAAAACCGTCAAACTGGAAAACTGAATCTAACCATGACAAAAAAAACTGTAAAAACCACGTTGACCAAAAAAGTCAAAACCAAAACAAAAACCGAACCGAACCGTTTCAAATGGTTCCGGTTTGGAAATATTAAGAACCGTAGGAACTGGACCGAACCACTTTTAATATAAATTATTGTTTTTTTATTATTTTTATATAAATAAGACATTTTTCCAAGAAGACCATGTACATAAACCCAATATTTTTCTTCACTTCTCTCCCCCTCCTTTGTTGTTTTATCACTTTTCTTTCCCTACATTATTTTTTTTCATTCTGTTCCAGTATATTATGCATTACGTAGATTTTAGTTTTAGTTTAAGATCTACACTTTGGTCTTGTCTTGATATGAGCCTTTCTATCTTTTGATTTATATTTATATTCACACTTTC